GATTTTTAAATAATTCCAAATTCCCTCAATTTAACATATGTTAGAGAACATGCCAAGGCCTATTCAAATATCATTTTACATCATGATTTCATGCTTGCTATGACCATGTGAATTAAACTTTCACAAAAGATAAATATTAAATAAATTTTGCAATACTTAACCAAATGATCCAAATTTAATATATGTTAATCAACATACCAAAGCATAATTTCCTAGTATGTCACAATTTAATTTCCAAGTTACATATAACCATATGAATTAAATCTCAAATATAGAAATTAATTAAATTAAATTCTAAATCTTGAACAAAACATGCTCACAAGTTGTATATGCTCATCAAACAATCAACACAACATAAATATAATCTTAAGACACCCCCTACCTCAATTTGAGATGAAAATCGCGAAAGCCACCAAAGCGAAACGGCTCCGAATCCGACAATACTTCGGGGTTTTGTCGGGGACAACGCCGTGAACGATAAACTCCAAAGAGGACTGATGAAAAATACAACTTGGCCTCAAACCCAAACTCAAAATTTGATCCGGAATGGGTTCCAGTAAGGGTGAAAAAAGCGCATAGTCAACACGAACACAAAACGTAAAGGCCCTACTATGTTCTGACAAAGGAATGAAGCTCAAATGAGGAGAGAGAAGATGGCAGCCTCCCTTGGGCTGCCATGGGAGCTTCTGGTTGTGCAAGGTGAGTGGGGAAGATGAAAAATAAAATATCTCACCCCCCTTTTATAGAAAAATCCAGAAAGTGCCCCGAAAGGGCCCTACCAGGTCCAGAAAAGTGAAATTTGAGCAGATACACTCAAATGACAAAACTCTGTGAACAAAAAAGGTTCAAAATGACAAAATATGAATAATGGAAGAAACGGCATCAGAAACTGAGTCCCGAGCAAAAAGTTATGTCGCAGAAAAGTTTGGCACAAACCGGGGCCAGAAACCCTGAAACTGGAAAACATCGACCAGAAGGGAATTCTATGAGTACATGACTCGACGAATAGTGAAAATGAATCCCGTATGAGGATCCAGGCTCCAGACGAGGTATTTCTGCAATAACTTTCGTTAATTGCACAATGGCCCCACCAAAAAGTGAAAACTGCACTAATGGTGCAAAATGAAAATATTTTCCAACAATATTTTCTTAAAAATCCCTGAAATAAAATATCTTGAAAAGATATTTACGAAAAAGACCCCAAGAAAAGAAAATAATTCAAAAGATTTATGTATCCATGTCCCTATGGACACCGGGAGCAACCAGAGTACTTTTTTGAAAAAGTAAAGAAACGTATTTCGTGGAAACCACTCAAGATGAAGGTATATGAAGTCAAAAACCGACTCCGAACACAAGAAGTGAGGTTTTGCGAATAAAATGACAAACGGGAAAAAGACGAAATAGGGAAAAGGATGAAATAGGGAAAATGACAAAAGGTGAATAGTGTCCGAAAAGTGAAAATGCGAAAATGACTCGGTCCTCAAAAGAAGTTATCAATCCAACGGAAAGAGTCTCAAAAACTATTTCTGAGCACTCGAGATGACACTACGTGACAAAAAAAACAACCACAGAAAAGAAAAGACAACGAAAAAAATTTATCCGCAAAATTTGAGGAAGAAAGGAAAGGAAGAAAATGACCGGGTCATTACAAGCATGACAACGTTAGATCTAACATGTAAAGCTCAGATTCATGAAGATTAAAACTCGAAATCAAAATAAAAACTTGGGACTTACCAAATCCGAGAGAGAGAGGTGAAAATCGAGAGAGATGATGAAATCGGAGATGAGAGATGACGTGGAAGCTTGGGATGGTCGCCAGAGGGTTCACCGGAGTTGGGAGAGGTGGATTGTAGTGACGGGAGAAGAGATAGGTCTTGGATTGATCTTTGAAATCGATCTAATGACCCTAGGGTTTTATTTTAAAAACGATCTCTGGAATGTTTGATCGATCTAAAAGGAACTCAGATCGATCGAACTCAAATCAATCTGAAAAATCTTGAGATCGATCTCCCCTCACTAAACGACAAGTATTTTTGAAAATTAAGAATTTAAAATTAAAAATCAAAGTTAAACAAAATATTTTTGGATTTTCGGAAATAAGATAAAAGGAAATGAAATAAAATAAAATAAAGTAAAGTAAAATAAAATAAAGTAAAGGAAAAATATTTTTGGCATTTTTTTTTCACTGAATAAATAAGAAATAAAATAAAAGTAAAAATAAAAAATAAAAAATAAAATAAAAATCATTTTGGTGTTTTGGAAAATAAATTGAAACAAAACAAAAATATTTTTGAATTTTTGAAAAATTTGAATTTTTTTTTCTTTTTTTTTTTTAATTTTGAAATTTAGAAGTCAAAACTCAGTTAAAATCAACAGTGAACAAAGAACATAGATCGATCAATCCAAGATTAATTTGAAAGAGGCTCAGATTGATTGAACATGCAAAAACCTGCATACATGTTCGAACGACGGAATAGAGAGCTTGTTTTCATGGGGCTCAAAATTTTTCTAAGTGTTGGAACTGAGAATCGATCCTAGAGGAAGTTGGATCGATCTTGGAACTTAAAATCAATCAAAACTGAAGTTCGCACGATGGAATATAGAGCTGAAATATGCAGGTTTCCTTCACACGATTAAACAGGCACAAAATGCTCATTTTCAACCTGAAAGTGCATGCAATCCTCAATCAAAGTTCCTAGTCATGTATATGAACCCAAAACAAATATTTAGACGTCGCAAGAAATGAAAGTTAAAATAGAAATGAGGGAGAAATAGGGTTGTCGACCCTATGAAACGCACTAGTCTTTAATGTTTCTAGCAAGACGTTGGGCTCTTTTAGCCCGGATCAAACATTTTGTAGTGCATCCCCTTCTTGATGGGGTGATAAGTACTTTGAACTCCACCCAACAAATGGTTTCCTAAAGAACTTGTTGGATTAGGTTCAAAGGAGATTGTTGGTCCTTTGTCAATGTAATCTTTAGGCTTCCATGCCCTCTCAAAGTAAGTTTTTGAAACATAATTCTTTAGTTTCAAGGTCGACGATGAACTTTTTGAAGTTTTGGTGTCAAGCAAAGATTCCATTCTTTCACATTCATTGTTATGACATTTTTCTACAACACTTACTTCTTCATGCTTGTCAAATGAATTCGGATTGAAGATATTCAACTTCACCTTCATATAGATAAATGAGATCTTCATTAACCCCATCCTATAATTGATGTTGGCATTTACGGTTGCCAAGAAAGGATGGCTAAGAATAACGGGAATTTGGCTCTTGGGATTTGGAACCGGTTTCGTGTCAATGACAATGAAATCAACCGGGAAGAAGAATTTATCAATTTTAATCAAGACATCCTTAATAATACCCCTAGGCTTTTTGATGGATCGGTCGGCAAGTTACAAAACCACCGACGTCGGTTTCAAGTCTCCTAAACCTAATTTGACATATATCGAGTATGGAAGAAGATTGACACTTACTCCTAAATCAAGAAGAGCCCAATTAATGACGTGGTCACCAATGATGCAAGAAGTAGTAGGTGAACCGGGGTCCTTAAATTTTGGACAAGTGTTATGCTGCAAGATTGAGCTCACTTGCTCGGTCAAGACCACTTTCCTAGGTGCTTAGCTCTTGTTCTTCCTCTTTTGGGTGCAAAGATCTTTTAAGAACTTGGCATAAGCCAGAATTTGCTTAATTGCATCCAAAAGTGGAAAATTAACCTTCACTTGCCTAAATACATATATAATTTCATTTGTTTTGGCTTTTTATTTGTCAATGGAAATGGATCCTTTTAAGTCATTCGGAAATGGAGCTTTGGGCTCAAAATCTTTTTCAAAAGTTTTCTTTGAAGTTTCTTCAACACAAGAATTTTTGAATTCATTTTTCAAAACAATTTTGAACTCACTTTTCAAATCACTTCCTAACACTTTCTCATTTGAATGATTATACATATACAATGAAGGAGGAATATGATGTGAAACGGGACGGGTGTCAACTCTTGGTTACACTAGTTTGCTCTCTTCATTGGACATACCCACTTGGTTGTCCACAATCTTCCTACTTCTTAAGGTTGTCACTGCATTGACATGCTCAATTGTGTGACCTTCCGATGAGGAATGAGTCTCCACAATGCATTGTTGCTTTGGTGGGGCATTCAAAGGCATTTTCCCTTTCTCTCTAGCATTTAAAGTACTAGTTATTTGCCATACTTGGGTTTCTAGCTTAGTAATGGATTGAGAATAAGAGTGAAATAATTGAGTGTTCGCCTCTAGAGTGCCCAAAGTAGTTAAAACTTTTTCCTCAAAAGCGGGACTTCTAGAATTTCCTTGAGAATATGATTGATTTGGAAAATGAAAATTAGAGAATTGGTTTTCATATGATTGATATAACGATCTAAATCCTTGGGATCCTTGGCTTTGCATTGGAGGTGGAATATACTTCCCTTGAAAACCACCTTGGGGAGGGTTTGAGCCTCCCCCTTGGCTTTTCTAAGAGAAATTCGGGTGATTCCTCCAACTAGAATTGTAATGGTTGCCATAAGGATTGTTCCCTTGATTAACAAATACTGCATTGACTTATTCATGATGCTCATTTTGGACATGTCTATGGGGACAATTGGAAGTAGAATGTAAGACACTAGAACACGTCATGCACGATTCATTAGATGGATCATAAACATGATTAGGGGAGGAAGACACTTGGTTTGCCGAGTTTTGGTTGATCAAAAATTGATCAAACCTTTGAGTTAAGGATTTTATCTCGGTAACTATTTCATTAGAGTTGTCGACTTGATATAAAGCCAACATTCTTCCTTCCACTTGAATTTATACCATTCTTGGAAGATAATGATCTATGCATTGAATTCTCGCTCATGCTTTCATAAAGATGCCACACATCATCCTCATGCCTATCAATATAAAAGCCACCCATGGAAGCATCAACCATTCCTTTGAAATTATCCGACAATCCTTCAAAGAAACATTGAACTAATTGCCATTTGGGTATGTCATGGTGTGGACACTTCCTAAGTAAGTCATTTAGGCGCTCCCATGCTTCATGAAATGTTTCCCCATTCCCTTGTGAAAACTCTCGAATTAAGGTTCTCATAGCATTGGTCTTAGAAACCGGATAGTACTTCTTTAAGAACTCTTGTTTCATTTCCGCCTAAGAAGTTATCGAAAAAGGACTAAGATTGTTGAGCCATTATTTTACCTTATTTTTAAGGGTGAATGGAAAAAGTTTAAGTCTTAAAACCTCTTCCGGCATGTCCGTGTATTTCACGGTGGAACACACTTCAAGAAACTCATCCAAATGCTTGTAAGGTTCTTCACTTAGAAGTCCACGATAGTTAGGAAGCATTTGAATGGTTTGTGGTTTAATCTCATAGTGATGTGCTCTAAATGGTGACAATTGAATGCATGTGGGTACATTATATTCATTCGGCATATAATGATCACACAAAGCAAGATGGGGATTTACAATTGGTGGTGCTATATGAGCACCTTGATTGCCTTGGATTATGGGAGGTTGTGGACCATACATTGGTCCAGGCATTCCCAATGGGACTTGGCCTTCTTGTTGTGGTGGGTGAATGAATGGCCTCGGCATGCCTAATGGAACTTGGATGTTGTCATGATGCACATTGGGGTGGAGGATACCTTGTTGGTTTATGTGCCCAAGGTCCTCCACATGGTCCTCATTATGGTCTTCCATTGATGAAATGGAATGACTAGTGGTGGCAGCTCATTGCTATTACACCACAAGCTTAGGAGAGTGCGCATTAAGGCGAAGGCCAAGTTTTACATTTATAAAAGCCACTACTACCTTCACTAAAAATATAGTTAGGGTGAGTAGGGATTGTCCCAAGGGATTGGAGTCGAATTTGGTTGTGGAATCACAATTAATGTTAGTAGGTCGAGTGATCAAACAAATAGTTGGTTGGTTGATTAAACTATAGAGCAAATTAAACTAAATAATTGAATGCAATAAAGAGTAAGTAATAGAGAGAGAGATCTTGGGATTTAGAGGTCACCACCAAACAATACTTTTCTATACCCTTAACAAGTGACTAATGAGGGAAATGTGTGTTGCAATATTGATGTGTGTGTGTGTTTGGTTGATTCAATTAGCAAGGGTGACCAATTAAGTATACATTGTCTAATTAACATGTGAAAAGCACAATATATCTAACAATTAAGTATATATTGTCTAAATAGCATGTGAAAAGCACAATATATTAGCAAGTCATTAATCCTTTCATTAAGCTCACAAGCCAAATACACCACAAGGTTAGAGACATATGCTTCTTGCATTCAAAAGTATGGAACATCAAACCACAAACATGGATTGTCCTCTCATCTAACAACTATGCTACCACTACACTACAATTAAGCTAATAACATGAAATTAAACTAATTAAGCTAAGGGAGAGGCACAATCCATCAAGAAATGAGCATGAACCATCTAGACAATTACAAGAGCATTCCATTAAGCACAATGTTTTGACAATCTCTAGATCTATGGCATTAATACACATAGACATGCATCAATAACACAAGAAATAGAGACAAACACATGAACATCTATTCTAGCATACATAGAAATATGGTTAGAATGAAATGATTAATTAGAAGCATTAAACCATATAAATCATTGAATAAACAAGATCTATATATATAAAAGTGTCAAAACATGTATTACAACACTGATCCCTCAATAATACACAAAATCAAGATGTAGAAAGCATGCTTGGGGCTAACTCTAGCCCCAAGAGGATGTCTAGCCACTCATGGTAGTGCTTCTCCAACCCTCAAGGGCTAACTCCATGGTAGAGATTTGCTCCTTGGTTGATGAAGAGTCTCCAATGGTGTCTCTAGCCTCCTCCTCCTCTAAGCTTACTCTCTAAGAGTTCTTACAAGGTATGAGATAATATATGTGATCTATGTAAAAAGTAATCCTTGTCCTTATATAGGTAGGTCAAAATGACACACAAAATGAGCTGGGGTCGTGCACAAAATATTCCCCAATGATTGGATAAATGACAACTTTCAATGAGTTGGAAATTTAACTTTTTCGCACTGAAGGAAGTTCGATCGATCGAACCTTGGACTTAGATTGATCGAACATGGCTGAGATCTATCGAACTGAAGTTGGATCGATCCTCAATGGCGGCACTTTTTGGATAAAGACAAATCTGAGATATTTTGAAGATATTTTTGGGAAAAGGACAAAAGTGGTTGGTAGGGTGGTACAATTAGATAAAATCAATCATTTGGATAAGGACAAGCTAGTTCGATCGATCAAAGAATGATGTTGGATCGATCGAACTTTTGAGATCTCTAAAAATGTCATCATGGCTCTTATCCATCTTGAAGTGCTAAGATCGATCTTGTTGGATCGATCGAACTTTGATCTGAGATCAATCAAAGATGTTAATTTCCACTTTTTTCTTCCTTTTGCTTCCATTTGGCTCCTTTCTTTCATTCATCCCAGAATTGCTTCATTTATGCTCTTATTTGGCTGAGTTAGCTTATTTTCGGGATAAGTGCCTTAAAATGGAAATAATACGAAATCAATCTAAAACGGTAAAGTAAGATAGATAAAGGTACTAGAATGTCTAAGCTTAAGGGGTTTAAATACATACTTTTCAGCGCTCATCACACCCCAAACTTAAATATTGCTAGTCCCTATCAATGAACTACGAGGTAAATAAATGAAATGAACAACTAAACAACTATAACTAGAAAGCAATAAAATGATAGTGCCACTTTCGTAGGGAACACGATTGCACTTAGCATATGCAACAAGCCTTTTAAACCCCTAGGTTACCCCTAGTGGACGAGTGAAGTCTCGTAAGGGTTTCCAGAAATGATACTTACAAACATTAAGCTCTTTTTTTCAAAAGAGGCACCAATATTGCAAACAAGCATTGAGAGAAAACTACCTCAAGTATGCAATGTTTCAAACATTTCTATGTAATCTCCCAAAATCTCAACATCAAGCAAGCAAGTATGGTCCTCCACACATCAAGAAAATGATCATACAAATCAAAACAACTCTAGAATCCTTTTGAGTGGGCCGGCATCAAATATGTTGCTATCTTAGCCAACTAAAGAATTAATCACATCCTTACCCTCAAACTAACACACAAATCAAGTACCGATCATCAAGACAAAAAATGGACTTTTTTTATTAAAGCTTTATTGTTCTAGGTGCGCTTATTCTTTTCACTCGATTTTTTTTTTTTTTTTTTTTTTTTTTTTTTTTTTAGGATCAAAGATGGAAGCATGGTGCAATGTGTTGATCTATTAAGCTTTCTAGCGAATCATGAGGTTGAGCGTTAGGTCAATGACTCCCAAACCAGATGGCTTTAGGGCATTAGGCGTTCAAACACCCCTAAGGACTTACAAGCTCAAATCAAGTAAGTTACAAATCAAGACAATCTCCATCTAATCATTTCCCACTTCTCACCTTTTGGGATAAGTCCTCACTTTTTATTGCTTTTGCAACTTTTTATTTTTATTTTTTTGTATTCAATTATTAACCTAGAGTTTGGGCCCTCCACCTTTCGGCGCGAGAAGTTCAGTGCTTGATGAGGCTAGAATCCCATCTACTTAGTGAAAATGAGTTGTTATCCACCTTTATCAAGAATGAAAGCTTTCAATACATTACTAGCTCAATTGGGATATAACCAATTCAATAATCAACAAAGCATGTACCCCACAAATGAATGCTAGTGTGCGTCTGTGCTAGTATAGAAGACTAGAGTGAATCTCAAAACAATCACAAAATCAAGATGATGTGGACCACAAGTGCAAACAAGATAACAATCTTGCGAAAAATTTACTCCTAAATGGTATCCATAAGGCATAGAAGGAGTATTGGACTCTTAAGTCAAGCAATTTTTAAATTTTAAGCAATATAGTCCTCAAAAGATCAAAATCATAGCTAGATATGGACCAATCATAGAAATCTCTCAAATACACAAGTCATGCTCAAAATTTTGAAGTTTAAAGCTAATACTGTAAAGTACACCATTACCCCCAAACTTAAACGGCACAATGTCCTCAATGTGCAAAGAGAACAAAAGGAAAGAGTATACCGGTGCAATTAAGGCAAAAAATGGCTGGGACTGAAGTATCCAAAGTAGGTGGCATAGCCCTCCCAAATTTGGGATTAACTGTGGTCCTGAAATTTGGCACTCGGATAAACTCATCAGATAACAAAAAGGGATACTCAGTGCACAGTGGACATGCAAGTGTAATTGAAATAAGGTAGGGAGAGAGGTATAAGGGTGGTCCTAAAAATTATGTAGCATTCTCTCTCACTGTAGTCACTATGATGCATCTGATGGAGTCAAACATACAGAGATAAGAATATAATAGATAACATCCATAACAAAAACATATATAAAGAAAATAGAGTACTGGATACATCAAAAGAGCAAAGCCGACAGACCGGTTGCAAATAATATGTTGTGACAAAAATGAAATATAGAGCACAGAGGTGTAGTATAAAAAGATAGAAGAAACTGGAAATCTCAGGTGGACGAGGCAGGATGGGCAGGGCGAGCTCCGCGGATATCGCGAGATAAGTCTTGGAGTACAGTCATGACATCTGTGCGGAATGTAGCAAAATCAGCTCGGTGGGCTATAACATCAACTCGAATGGTAGCAGTATTGGCTCTGAGAGCAACCACTGCATCCTCAAGAGCCTGAAGATGCTCTCCAAAGCCGGGGATCTGACTAAGAGCCTCAAGTACGGATGAATCAGAAGAAAGATCCTAAGTCTGCTCCTCCACGTGTACTGGCGACCTAGCTAGAGAGTGCTGCTCTGCGTCATCTGCAAGTCGCTCTAAATTGATGTCTATGTGCTCGGCAGCTGGACGTACTGGTACATCATCCACTACGGGGTCTGCTGCTACTGCCTCTGCCTCCTTAGCCTCGAGCTCCTCTGCAGCCACTACTGCGTGGTCCTGCAGTCTGGTGATAATAGCATTGTAGCTCTTATCCCAGTCCTTCTTCAAGAAGTGACAGGAATCTCTCTCAGGGTGCTCCCGATGATGGAAAGGGTAGCGCTGGTCAATCAGTATCTGGGTGATGAGGTGGCCAAA